CCAATTTTCTTCTTATCATCATTTTTCTCTACCAACAAATTGTTCACTTGACACTTTTCAACATTCAAGTTCATTTCACAGTTCATTTTTTCCATTAGTTGTGTTTTACCTTTCTTTTTCTCCTTACTGTGTTTCTTTGTCATTTTGTTTACCAAGTCATTACCTCGCCGCTCTGTAGCCTTGACCTGCCTTACAGAGGGCGATCGTTTCACCGGACAGTACCGTGCCATATGTCCGGGTTGTGAACAAGACAAACAAATTGGTCGACCGTCTGCCGTCCATTGGAGTGATGGCTTGGCAGGACACGGCCGTCCAACCCGTCCCTGTTTTGTCCCGTTCTTTTCCTGATTCTCAGCTGTTGACCTGCTTTCCAACCTCTCCAAACGTTGGTCAACCTTCTCTAGGTGGGCCAACAGTTGAGCCATCATGGTCTCCATCGTGTCGGCCCCTGTGGGTGGGGATTGTCTCTGTTCAGGCACAGAGACTTTGTCCACCGAACAGTTCGATTGGTCCTCATCCTCGGACCTGCGGATCGCTGAGTTCCTGACCTGAAGGAAGGTCAACTGCTGGTCTCTGTGGACCTCCTCTTTCAACTCTCTCCTTAAGATCGGGGTTGCTAGCCCCTCGATGAAATGGTCCCTCAGTAGGCGTACATCAATGTCCGGTGATTTGCCCTTTACCAAATCAAAGGCCCTGTTCATCCTGTGTGAGTACTCCATCACACTCTCCGCCATTCTCTGCTTTAAGCCCACGAATCCCGATAGCAGTTGCACTCCCGACCGTCTCTCCCCAAAGGTCTCCATAATCAGATCTAGCACCTTATCTGGATCTGATTGGACGGTCCTATCGTGGCACTTAACCTCTGCCCTAACCGTTTCACCTATACTGCCCATCAGCAGTCTTAATCTTTCCTCTGGTGACATATGTCTCGAGGCCCAGGCCGCTTTGACCTCTTCACTGAACCTGTTGGTTAAAGTTGGATCTCCGTCCCCGTAAAATGTGTTAATATGGGACTCTCTGGGTAGGACCACTATATGGGTCTGCTTCTCGTCCAGAGTAGACATTTTCTTCCTTAAGTACTAAAAAAAGAGTTCTTTCTTACCGTGTGTGTATGAAAAATTTTTCCTCGTTCCTCAATTTTCACAGTTCCTGAATGTCCGAATTCACACACACACTAAACACAGTTATGCACAAGGTTGACTATAGGTGCCTTAAACGGCAAGTCTAGTTGAATTCATCCTGATCGCAGCGCCAATTGTGACGAGCGAACATTTATCCTGCCGACAACGCCAATTGTAACGAGCCAACAGTTACCATGCTCGCAACGCCACATGTAATGAGACCTAATTGCCTGTAGTGCCACGTGTTAACGAGTTTAACCACTCATTCTAGACAACATTGACCACAGTATAGATACTCAAGATGCAGGTTCGCTATTGATCCTTTATTACATGAATCAAGAAATGCTTCATAATAACACAATAAATCAACAGGAATGCTTCTCAATAATAGTCTGAATCAACTGACCCCTAACAGTCCTTCACTAGGCTTTATATAACTGACTCCACATGTCTATAATCCTCCTTAACACAATACGGCTAACCCGTTCTATAACCGACTTGACATAGTCACACAGACTGACTGATCTAAGCGAGCGATGAAGATGGAAGAGAGCTCGCTGAAACGGGAAGAGAGAGAGCGAGTCCTGCCGTGCCCTCCTATTTATGCCTTGTATCCGTACTCGTCCCCGTACTTGTATTCCTCCGTAATCGATACTTGTACTCGATCTCCGACCACCAGTTGCGTAGTTCAAACGTACAGACCGTAAAATAACATCTGCGTCCTATCCATCAAAGTTGACAGGCCGTCTGAATACCGTTTCCCAAAATAGCACGCGTTGGCTTTGAGGTTGTTATCAGCCCGACCCAATAAGCCACCTGTTATCGGTTGCATCAGACCAACACTGTGTCTCGGCTTCTCGTTCGTTATCATTTGTAACTGGTAGTTAGGCCTACCCCAGTTACATATATATATATATATAAACACATCATGTGTGTGAGTGCTATTAGTCTGTTTTGAAGTTCTCTGTTTCAATGTCTGACATGGCGCTACCTAATTTAATGGCGGTCAAAATATTATGAAGCATGAAAGCTTTGTATGTGTAATGGTATCTCGCCTTATGTTTATTTTTAAGTTTTTTTTTTTTTGTATTTTATTAGGTTTTTAATACATTTCCTTTCATACTATGTCTTTCTTTATTGTGTAATTTAAAAAAAATAATAGTTGAGTCAAGTAAGTGCTTTTTAATTTGTTTAGTGAAAAAAAAGTTTCTTAATTAAAAGCACACATATTTGACTATTTAAAGAAGGGAAATAAGTCATAGAAGTGATTTAAACGTTTGCCTATCTTTCACTCATGTAGCTATATACGTTTTTTCTTTATGAAACAGCGATGTTAGCTACTGTAGAACATCATTACTGTAGTAGATCTGTTTGTTTGTTGTTGTTTTTTTTTTTTGCAAAAAAAATGTTTTTTTTTTAACTATAAAAAAGTTGATTCTGGTCGGCTTTGGGCCCCTAAATGGCCTGGGCCCCCCCGCATTGCGGGGTCTGGCGGCACTGTAGTTCCGCCCCTGCTCTCACCCCTACCCCTCCCCTCTACCCCTCACCACACCCTTACTCTTACAATAAGATGTAATGCATAGATTAACGAACCGTCTATGAACTACTGAACTGTAAACTGACCACTTCTGCACATTTTGTTAAAGACACTAGTCAGTAGTTGTTCATTTACCTGATGAACAGGGGCGGAACTACAGTCCCGCCAGACCCCGCAATGCGCGGCAGGGGGGGGGGGGGGGGCAAGCCGTTTAGGGGCCCACGGCTGATTAAAATTAATATTTTAAAAAATTTTGAACTTAATTTTCGTGCATTTTTTGCCTTAATATTTGGTTTGTAAAAGAAAAACACTGTAGCTGCGGTACGATTATCTTTATTTTACAGTCACTATACACGCTCTTCCGCAAAAGATAAAATCCATTACACAAACTAGTGTAAAATATAGGTAACTCTTCAAATTTGAATGACTTCTTTGACTCGTCCCCCCCCCCCCCCTTTTAATAGCTAAATAGAGGACACGTAACTGTTTGACCGATCCTCCAAAGTGTACTGTGGCGGGTGGGGCAGGGGATGGGGACCAAAAAGGGGGTTAAAAAATTGTCGACACATTTTTTACATATTTAAAAGAGTTATTTATAGTTGTATTTTTTAACCATCGTCAAGGCCGAGTTCTATTTCCCTACAATCAAACACACGCTGTCGCCGGCAAAATTCTTTTTAAAAAACAACAAAGTCCATAGCACAAAAAGCCGCTACACATGAAGTGGGCTTTCATGATGCGCGGTTTTTCTTTGCGGCATTTTGTTGTCTCTTTCGAGTTTTTTCCCGAGCCGAACCCTATCCCATCCCTCTTTCTCAACCTCACAAGTATCGAGGAGATAAATGTATCGTTTATGAACTACTTCCTAACCGTACGATTCACCACTTCAGCACATTTTGTCAGACACTAGACAGCACTAGATCTAGTCAACAGATATTAATTTACTTTCATAGTATTAGGCACATCTAATTCACAAAACAGGGCAGGTAAGATTATTTTTTATATATATTTATATAATTATTTAGAAATTAATTAGAACGTTTAGAATTAACTGAACATTATTAATAGTCAATTACTATTTATAAATGACGTCATTGAGGTGGGGGTGTGTGAGGGTCTGGCTTTTTGTTAGTCCCCCCCCCCCTCCCCTAAATCAGAAGGTTATCCAACGCGTGACCTGGCCACATACAGTTGTACATGTGAAAAACATTTTTCTGTCTATTATGCATTACTGCATCATTCACCCAATCGCCATGAAAACTTGGGAAGCTGTTGAGTACAGCCCCGCAAAGGTTTCTGTCATAGGCCTAACATTTGTACATATTGGAGTGCGGACGCCTAACGGAAATATGTGATTTAACGCCCGAAGATCCTGCATAAGCGGATGTACTACTTGAATACAACCGGCGGCAGTGTCATCCTGAGCGCATCACATATGATCAAGTTGGCCCCCACAGACAGTCGATTAAAAGTTCCCACAACACTAGGAATAAGTCTCGCTACAACACTCGATGACTAAATCTAATTAGGTGTCGCACCAATGTTTCTTCCAGGGTAGACTGTTTTCGGGGGAGGGGAGGGGGAGCTCTGCCGGAAGAAACAATGTGTTGCACCGATCACCCGTGCAGTAATGTAACCGGTAGCTCCAAGAGCCCCGTGACTCCCATGACACCTGGGCCGTCGCCGAGGGACTTACAGCATGCCTTGGCGTGTCTAGTTGGTAGTGTGGACTAACCCGAGCCATAAGATCCAAGAAATGAACTGCCGACATTGTTAACATTTAATTCAACTTCTGGAAAACAGGGCACACGGTTGGTAACGTTTTGATGAAAGCCTCAGTTTGGTTTGTTGGACCTGATTTAGAGAGTTTGTGCTTCTCACTTGGAAAACTGAAAGGGGCCAGCTCGTGTGTTGGAAAACCTCTGATTTATTCGTGTACCAGATGGAATTTTTTTTTTAATTTAGAGCGACCCATGTTTTCCATATATATATATATATATATATATATATATATATATATATATATATATATATATATATATATATATATATATATATATATACATATATATATATATACATATATACATATATATATATATACATATATATATATATATATACATATATATACATATATATACATATATATATATATATATATATATATATATATATATATATAGGGGCCCAAAAAAAAATCCTGCGGGGGGGGGCCTGTTTTTTCTAGTTCCGCCACTGAACCATGGTACACATTTAAAACAAGGGTAACACAAATACCCCCCCCCCCCCCCCCCCCCCCCCCACACACACACAGAAGTCAGGAAGAAAATCTGAGTTACCTTTTCTTGGCAGCCACATTTTTCGCCTCTACGATCCAGAGTTTGAGAGAACTGTCTGACCGTCGGGAATGTTCCTCGTGGGGTCGGTTGGCTCGTCTCAAGCTGTGGGTGACAGGAGGGGGTTAAACATAGGGACACATTTCAGTTGTCATACCGTACTCACACGGTGACACATGTCAGTTGTCATCTAGTACTCACAGTGACAAATGCCAGTTGTCATACAGTACTCACACAGGGCGTTTAGCACAGTGACAAATGTCAGTTGTCATACTTTCACAAGACTCGATATATACATACATATTCACATTACTGTCTTCATCCTGCCATACACCTGGTGACACCCTCAATCTAAGCAGGTACAGAACTAGTTCTACAGTTTTAAAAACATTCTCAACAAAGACAATTCAACAACACCATTTCTAAAACGTTAAAACAATAGCTGTAGATATAATAAAGCAGTCGATAAAATAATAGCTGCCTATATAATAAAGCAGTCGATGAAATACTAGCTTTAGATCTAGAGCAAATCCCATAATAAATCGCCTGGGTCAGGACTTCTATGACCTATCTGTACCTGTTAAAACCAGCTATAGATTACTCCAGACTGAGACAGTTGGCACCTAGACAGGTATGTCGACAGGTATTTATACAGGTGAGAACTAATCGATTCCAATAGACGGGTTCGATTCTAATTAACGGCTCCGATTATCTTTAAGAGATTCGGAAGTTTGAGATAATGTAAAGTTAGAAGAGAATGTATCTCGTCTGAGACTGAATATTTACATTAACGTTGACAAGTGCGTCACATGACTGACCCAGTGACCTGTGCGAGACGGAAGTTCAAATACAACCGGAAACAGGCATGAAACTTGACGTCAAGGCGCGTCAAGTAGAAGACGTCACTCTGGGATTACTCACAACACATCTAATTACATACACAATACATCTAATTACACTCACAACACCCCCAATTACAATCACAACACCTCAAATTACAAGCAACACATTTTTGTTACCCGCTAACAGCTGTTATTACATAACTTTAATTACATTTGTACAGAGACGCATACCCCACAGTTCACGACAAACAAAACCTACAGTGATGTGAAACACACATTACACACACCGCCAACCTACATACCAAGCCCTAACCTCTACCTAACTCAAACTTCACAGCAGATTTACGATACACCCCCTACAAGAATATCATGTTACGGGAGATTAGTGATCTATGCTTCTCGTGAACTCGTATCTCTACTACAACCAGACATCTTTATTGCCAGATTGTCCAATTATGTACACATATATGCCCCCCCCCCCCCCCACAGAACCGGGATGCTGATATTTCAACATTGAGAACGAGGCCTACGGTAATGTCGTCTGGTCCCTGTCGCATGGACACACCCCAGTATCGTACACCCCCACACTAGCCCCTTATGAGAACATACACCTAGGTACCACCATTTGAAACATGCCCGAGTCGCTTCATATGAGTATGAGGACTGACACCTCACTATTTAACATTAAGCTATGCCCCCCCCCCCCACACACACACAAGACTTACCCCCGTAATGTCCCTCCCCTCCACACACACAAGACCTACCCCCGTAATGTACCCCCCCCCCCCCAACAACTAGACCAGACACCTGTGCACCCACCTGTTGAGCCATTTGTCCCGTTCACCAGAGTCCGTGCACGAGATGACCTTGCTGCCCTGGGGCGTGTTCACGCGGAAGCAGTGACCTTGACCGAGCACGCTGCTGTGGAGAGGCTTGACCTCGGCGTCCGGGTCTCGGAGGTCGAAGGACTGCATGCTGGGAGGACTGGCTAGCAGGGACTCATGGGATCGTGAGCTCCGAATTCTCGCATTGATGAGGGACCTGTGACGTCACAAGCAAAAGTACACCGTGAGTTCAATGGTGGGAAACAAACAGGCACTTGATGTGTGCTGACAAAAATACATGGTTAGTTCTACAACAGATCTACAACAAACAGGCACTTGATGTGTGCTGGCATTAAAACATGAAAACTGCTACACATCTGGGATAATAGCTAAAGAAAAATGTAAAGTCAAAAAATAAATGCACAATTTGGGAACCCTTTTTCTGGGAACATTGCAAAGTGTGGTTGTGTATAACTAGATACATATTTTTTTTGGTTACAGTGTAGTCACTAATACAGTTTTGTTTTAGAACAATCTTAAACCAACACGTATTTGGTAAAGACGAGCTAGCTTTATGACAGATGAAAACAGAGCTAGTGAAGACACAATGTCGAAACATCAGTATATCCATGGTGATAAAACTGTGGTACCCATGGTGATAAAACTGTGGTACCCATGGTGATAAAACTGTGGTACCCATGGAGATCTAGATGTATTACTATTGGTTCTACAGTTGTGTTACCAAACATACAACGACTGGTCATGAGCAAAGAGCCATTAATGACGATTCAATTAAAGCCCGCTGTGATCAACGTTTCTGACCGTTTTAAATTCCTTCTACACGGCGAGTTTAGGCACACAACAGACGGTGATAGCCCACGTTTGATGCCCAGGATCAGATTACCGTTCAAATTATTGGCTCATGCTTCTAAAGATTGCGCGCGTGTTTGTTTAAATCCCTTTTTATTGTAGACTTAAGACAAAAGGGGAAAAATACTAGATTTGCTGAATCAGCAGTTAAAAATAAACCCAGAAAGCTTTTGAGTGAAAAAAAAAAGCGATAGGAGGTGCCAAACGATATAAATCTTTTGCCAAGGTTTCAAGTCAATCACATGACACGCCCTAAAGCCCCGCCCACAAACATGATGGTTTTAAAGTACCCCTTACTCTTCATTGATACCGAATTGTACAACAAGCTTCACCTCACAGTTGCTGGGATGTACCGCACACCCCCGCATCTCATTGATATCGAATTGTCCGACAACCCATAGACCTACCTCCCCGGAGAAAACCCATCATATTCTCAATCACCACACACTTCTAAGAGCTCGCCTCTAAACTCTGTCCGACAACTATCTATAAAAGCTTCAGACATCCAAGAATACATGCTATACCTCACCTGTCAGGTGATACATGCCGGGGGGGGGGGGGGGGGGGTACGGTATAGCCCACAGGCCAAAAGCTGAGTCAGTACGTACACCCAAACAAACGTTGGATAGACGCTAACACAGAACACACACACAAACCCCAACGTACCTAAACTCTATTTAAAAAAAAAAAGTACAAAGGAGTCTGGGTACAGAAATGTTCATCAAAGTCGAGATATCAGGAGCCCTGTAGACTGGCGACATAAGCAACTTGTGAATCATAGGACGGAGGGGAGCCAAGTTACCCACGGTTCATGCACGTACCGTCCGTTGGTGCTCATTACACGTACTCAACGGACCGTCTGTTAATGCTCATTACACAAACTTAATCCAACACAAAAGTAGCTAGATTGAGACATTTAGTCTGAATAACGACGTATTGAAAATAATATACAAATACTAAAATGCATCACTTTGAAAATTAAGGAGCTTTCAAACTTTCAAACAAACATACACTGGCCGTGTCTAGATGTTGACTAGACATTCTCTACAACACTTTCACTAGTCTAGCTCTGGTCTAGACGATGGTACAACCCACGATAGACAATGTCTGTTATTCCATAGGCTTACACTTTTAATAAAACTCACAGATGCCACGACCCGACAGAGGATTAAACCCTGGACCTCCAACAATACTGGCTTTAGTCTATCCACCCTGTCACAAGAACTCACAGTCACGGCAGTCGGTCACACTCTACAATATCACTGCCATGACAGTACGTCACGTTCTACCAGGTCCCTGTCACTGAAGCCTGTCAAACGATCTTCCTGTCATGACAGTCTGTGACACTATCTCACTGTCATCACAGACTGTCACACGTAACAATCTCACGTTACATGTCTACGTGGCACCAAAACATGCATTCATATAAAAAGTTGATCATATTAAAAAACGCATCAGCTGAAATGTTTCTGTAATACCAGCACTTCAGTTGGTCATTCCGCGAAACAATAGCAAGGCTAGATCTACATCATTACTGAGATTAAATACAGAGGACTTTACAAGTGTACATATTTCTATGTAATGTCCGAATAAAATAGGTGTTAGTCTGCTTGTGGTCAACACAGTAGCAGCTGACTGCTATTATTAACATAGTTTTATGCAAATTAAGAAACTAATGACAGGAGAATGTACTTAGTCCTAACTTAGAATAAAAACTAATGAATTAAAGACCATCACACAAAAACTTACTTTCGAACTTGAGGCACGGCTAAACAAATATAAGGCATCCTCTGGGTCTGACTCTATACGTGACTTGTCCGTTAAACGGTACAACTGGTCCCCGGCAAACAACACTAATACTAAGGTAAACAAACACACGGGGACACGGCGGTTAACACGGTGCCTTCATGACGTGTGCGTCAAACACAGCTAAACAAATCAGCGAGACAACAGCACGGTGTGTTCGTCAGCGTGATACTGAATTCCAGTGTTTCTTCCAGACTTTTTTCTCCGGGGGGGCACTTGAAATCTTCGGGGGGGCGGTAAACTTTCTTCGGGGGGGCGGACACTGTTAAAAGTATATATTTTCTATATAAATTATATAAATTTCATTTCGTTCGGGGGGGCGGTAAAAATTTTTCGGGGGGGCTTCGCCCCCCCGAAGAGATGCCTGGAAGAAACTCTGCTGAATTCTATGTGCAATACACCGCTTACAGCTTGAAACTATGTATTACATATGCCTCCAACATGCTTTTAAAAAAAATTAGGTCACGTGAGGTACGAAAATAGCACGGACTTAATCCGAAAGAAAAGAAATCGTGTGGATTATGAAAAGAGTACACCGCCCTAAAACACACAGCGAGACACATTCGGGGATAAAGGACAGCTCCTTGGGTTAAAAAAACTATCGAGGATTCCCACGCCTGTTGCAAGACAGAGCCTTATGAATGGTGACATTCAAAATTTTAAACCCTCCTCTACACAACAGTCGCTTGCGATGCGCGCCAATTCATTGAAACGAGGCCATACGTTTTACCGTAGTCCTTTATTTAAAGATACAGCCCGGTTAAAAAAAAAGGAGCTTTCGCACGTAGACTATTGTTTACACAAGTAACGTACAGGCAACGAGAAACGACGAGATTAGAAGCAAAGAAAATAAACACGAAAAGCATTGTTCAACCGCGAACGTTTAAGTGCTAGATGTAAAAAATATTACACGATAAAGAGGTCATTCGTATTGTTATTATAATATTGTGTAATGCGGCGATTGCGTGCACGAATAACAATGGTTGATACTTATCAGGGAACTAAAGTGTCCCACAGCCTCTCGAGTGTCTAGGTCGAGTAGAGTTTCACTTCACGGTACACTTTCTCACGGTGATCGCTTCCTTGTAGGGCGTCATTTGTGCATGTCTGATCCTACTTAAATGGCAAGCGTGTTATAGTGGCATACAACTTGGTCAGTTAAATTTAGATTGAAACAGCTATTGGAAAGTACATAGTACGTCATGTATTACCTCATCACGTGATCGATGCTATTTTTAGCAGACTACCATCCGGACATAAATGTTGAGTTGAGCACACAGAAGGCTTTGGTTCGGATCCTTAGAGAAATAAACAAGTGTGTAACGTTCTGCCCAGATGGCCAAGTGTGTAGCGTTCTGCCCAGATGGCCTGGCGTGTTGAGTTCTGCCCAGATGGCCAAGTGTGTAACGATCTGCCCAGATGGCCAAGTGTGTAACGTTCTGCCCAGATGGTGTGTAGTCCTGTCCAGGAAGTCTACACAGTGTGTCAACAGAGAGCCGAGTCTATGCGACACACGCATGAGTCATTCAAGTGCTCACCACTTCAGCCTGACCAAAACATGTCTGACCACGTGACCATAACAGGACATATCACGTGATGCGCTAACGATTGCAATACAAGACGATGCAGAGTAAGTGGATAATGTTACACAGCTTGTTGCACAATTTATGAGAAATATTAACTCCACTGCCGGTATCTTATTACAGAGTAGCTACGGTATTTTAGGTCAGGGGTTAAGATGGACGATTTTGATACCAATAGAAATTATATTACTAGCGCCAGACTAAGGGATATAATGGAATAATTCAACACAAATTGGAACATATTTATTTCTAACGTCGATGCAACAAAAACACGCTGCAGAGCTCCAGTATTTCGTTTGTGACAGTGTTTATTTGAAGTAGTTGTCTGGGGCTGTCAAAGTGGAGTGTGGTCAGTGGACACTGTGTGTGTGTGGTCAGTAGACACAGTGTGTGTGTGTGGTCAGTAGACGTGTGTGAGTGTGGTCAGTAGACGTGTGTGAGTGTGGTCAGTAGACACGGTGTGTGTGTGTGTGTGGTCAGTAGACACGGTGTGTGTGTGAATGTGTGTGTGAGTGTTGAGATGGGACACGCAGACAAGAAGTAATTAAAATTTAACCTGATTGGCCCCGGGCAGCAATTAATTTCCTCGCCCAGCAGAAATCGTGGGTGGTGGAGGCAGGCTAAGTGTCGGCAGATGGTATACAAAGTATTTCCATTTTATTTTTATTTTGCACGCAGACAAAAATAAATGAAGGTTGCAGCTAAAAGCCGTGACGTCATGACATGGAGCACGTGCGCTCAGGTGTCTGCGGTGAGTGTTTTCACCTGCGTGATGCCACGAGTGTCTCACCTTAGCTGGAGGTTTTAACGTCAGCAACTTTTAAACTTAAACGTTACTTTAAGAAATCGTACAAATAAACACATTGGTTTCTAGCACAATTTCGCTATACTGAATTAGAAATTACCCGTAATTAACAAGTACAAACAGATAGTGGAAGTAACCAAATTAATGAGATTT